CACCTCCATGAGCGACAGACTCAAGGGGTGGACTCCATGAGCACCAAAGCCCCATGGAAATCCTGCTCCTTAGGGTCAACTCCTGCACAGCAGGCTCTTTTGCTATAGTTGAAGCTGGTCCTCACAGCCAGTTCTCTTGGGAATCAATCCTTCTCAGTGATGCCAACAACAATTAAGGCTCAACTACAACAGGACAGTGCACACAGCCCACACAGGGGCACACCTGAAACACCCACCTCAGGTGACTGGGAGGTTGCACCACTAGGCCCTACAGAACACCTACTACACAAGGCCACTCTACCAAGTCCAGGAGACATAGCAGTTCTACCTAATACATAGGAACAAACACAAAGAAGTAGCCACAATGTGGAGGCAAAGACACATGTTGCAAATGAAAGAACAGGAGAAATCTCCAGAAAAAGAACTAAATGAAATGGAATCAAGTAAACTATCAGATACAGAGTTCAAAACAATGGTTATAGGGATGCTCAAAGAACTTACTGAGAACTTCAAGGAACTTAGTGAGAACTTAAATAGCATGAAAAAGGACTTAGGAACCATAAAAAAGTACCAGTCAGAAATGAAGGATACACTAACTAAAATGAAGAATAATTTATAGGAAATCAACAAGTAGAGGATGCTGAGAATCAAATCAGCGATTTGGAATATGAGAAAGCAAAAAAACACCCAATCAGAACAGTAAAAACAAAAAAGAATAAAAAAAAATATAAAGATAGTGTAAGAAGCCTCTGGGACAACTTCAAGTGTACCAACATTCACATTATGGGGGTCCTGGAAGGAGAAAAGAAGGTGAAAGAAATTGAAAACCTATTTGAAAAAATGACAGAAAACTTTCCATATCTGATGAAAGAAATAGGCATACAAGTCCAGGAAGCACAGAGAGTCCCAAACAAGATAAATCTAAATTGGCCCACACCAAGACACATCATAATTAAAATGCCAAAGGTTAAAGGCAAAGAGAGCATCTTAAAAGCAGCAAGAGAAAAGCAGTTAGTTACTGACAAGGGAGCACCCACACGACTGTCAGCTGATTTCTTTTTTTTTTTTTTAATATATTTATTTATTGATTTCAGAGAGGAAGGGAGAAGTAGAGAGAGAGAGAGAGAGAAACATCAATGATGAGAGAGAATCATTGACCGGCTGCCTCCTGCAAGCCCCATACTGGGGATCAAGCCCGCAACCCAGGCATGTGCCCTTGGCTGGAATCAAACCTGGGACCCTTCAGTCTGTAGGCTGATGCTCTATCCACTGAGCCAAGCCGGCTAGGGCAGTCAGCTGATTTCTTAACAGAAATTATGCAGGCCAGAAGGGAGTGGCAAGAAATATTCAAAGTGATGAAAACCAAGAACCTACAACCAAAATTACTCTACCCAGCAAAGCTATAATTTAGAATTGAAGGTCAGATAAAGAGCTTCCCAGACAAGAAAAAGCTAAAGGAGTTCATCACCACCAAACCAGTATTACATGAAATGTTAAAGGGTCTTCTTTAAGAAAAAGATTAAAAAATATGAACAATAAAATGGCAATACATATCTATCAACAATTGAATCTAAAAATCAAAATAAATGAATAAGCAGAAATAGACTCATAGATACAGAGAACAGTTTGACAGTTGCCAGATGGGAGGAGTGTTGGGGAAATGGGTGAAAAAGGGAAAGAGATTTAGAAGCACAATTAGTAGTTTGTATAGTCATGGGGGTGTAAAGTACAGTGTAGGGAATCTATACTAATAAAAGAGAAACATGCAAATTGGTGTCACTCCACTACGCCCACCAACCAATCAGGATGAGTATGCAAATGAACCCAACAAAGATGGCGGCTAATTTGCATATACAGGCACGGAGCAAAGACTGAAGACGACTGAAGACTGAAGAGGCTTGGCTTCTCCGCTGCGGCCAGAGCGAAGGCCTGGGTCCTGGGTGCCAGAGGAAAACCAGTGCTGGCAGCCAGGAGAAGGAAGGCCTATTGCACGAATCTCTTTGTGCAACGGGCCTCTAGTATAGTCAATAATATTCTAAAAATTAGGTATGGTGTCAGATGGGTATGAGATTTTTTGAGATCATTACTTAAGTTATGTCTAATTACTGGGGTGTGCACCTGAAACTGATATAATATTGTATGTCAAGTGTAATTGAAAAATAAAAAAATTATTCTAAAAAAGACATCTTTGAGTCTTCTATTTAACTTCATCATACATTAAGAATAAGAACACATGAACACATATGTTTGTTCCATTTAATTTCATTCATTTAATAAATACAACATTGAGCATCTACTGTGTGCCAGGTTCTGTTCTAGGCTCTGGAAGACAGCAATGATCAAAGACATACAAAGTTCCTGCTCTTAGAGAACTGGTTCTGTGGGGGAGACAAATAATAAACAAGTCAATAAGTATATGTCAGGGGGTGATACATTCTATTACAAAATAAATTTAAGCCCTGGCCAGGTAGCTTAGTTGGTTAGAGTGTCTTCCTGATATGTCAAGGTTGCAGGTTCGATCCCTGGGGCAGGGCACATGCAAGAATCAACCAATAAATGCATAAATAAGTGGAACAACAAATCAATGTTTCTCTCTTTCCTCCTTCCTCTCTCTCTAAATCAACAAATTTTAAAAAAGACCCTGAGACAAGATCAATTTGTATGTGTATGTGAACATATTATTCCTTTGTCCTACATTAAATATATGCTAGTAATTTTATGATAGTGATATTAAACTGCAAAATCATTTTTTAAATTTTTATTGAGAGAGAAAAACATTGATTTGTTGTTCCACTTATTTATGCATTCATTGGTTGATTCTTGTATGACAGGGATTGGCATATGGGGACAATGCTCTAACTAACTGTGCTACCCGGCCAGGGCAAACTGCAAAATCCTTGAAGTCTTTCTAATATTGACTCAGTTAGGTAAAACATTTATGAATCTTGCTGACTGTGCAAATGTGCCTAGAAGTTCAGTAAGTGGTGATGGCTAGATAATGAGCCATGCATCATGGTGAATATCAAGACTGATGGAAGAGACCCTAGGTGACCCTGCCACAGCTGGGTGGGGAAAATCTCTCTCCAGGAGTTCCCTTACCTCTGTCCTTTTGCTCTAATTGCTGTGGACGTGCCGGGCAGCACAAAAGGGCTCCTGAGGGTGGTTCCTGCTGATGCTGGGTAAAGGTCCCCGTAGGCAGAGCCGAAGACTCACATAAAGTAAAAGTTCCTCTGAACTCGAGCGTTACCAAGGGTTATGTTGCCTGGAACAGAAAAGGTTTGGGGTGGGGCGTGTGTACGCAGGGTGGAAAAAAAGTGGAGGGAGTCAGAAAGCAAGAGAACCGCCCTCCCTAATCGGTTTCCCTGAACTTGGAACCCCTATAACCAACCCCTGGTAGGCACTGCTCTGCGCCCAGTGATGCCCTTATCATGGAATTGCACTGACTTCTGATGTGTTTGATGTTAATTCTTTACTGTCCACAGTGGCTAGATTGGTCTGCCTTTTTTATTATCATATAGATATGTCCTTTACTCATCTATATATATTAATTTTCGTAGTGCAAATTATTAGACTTGTTCATGAATAATGCATTCTAAATGTAGTTGTGTCCTCCTTTTGATTGCCTGTTGCAGGCAGGCACTGATAAAGGCTTTCGATGATGATTATGACTTCAACGATTACAGTAGAAATCAAAGGCTATTTCTTGTCATTTGGAATACTGCTCCTCTGAAAGTGATAACCTCCTCTTCCCTTACAGGTCTTCTCTCACAAACTGGCTTCAGCTGGCCTCAGCAGAACCCTTTCATTTTTTTTTTTTGAGGGTATGTTTATTAAAGCTGGGGACAGTGAAACAAAGAAGGGCTTAGGGTAGAAGAAGCAACAGGAGAGCGCCTAGGTGGGGCAGCGTTGGCTCACTGAGAAGTCAGAGAAAAGGGGGCCTTGGGGACAGGTTCAGCGGATTAGCTTGGGACCAGCTGCTGCTGCCCACTGCTGCCCTGATTACAAGTCTCAAGGTCCCTTAGAGTTTAGGACAGCCGTGGGCAAACTACGGCCCGCGGGCCGGATCCGGCCCGTTTGAAATGAATAAAACTAAAAAAAAAAAAAAGACCGTACCCTTTTATGTAATGATGTTTACTTTGAATTTATATTAGTTCACACAAACACTCCATCCATGCTTTTGTTCCGGCCCTCCGGTCCAGTTTAAGAACCCATTGTGGCCCTCGAGTCAAAAAGTTTGCCTACCCCTGGTAGGAGATGCGTGCCTGTGTGGAAGAAGATGGGGAGGGCACTGAACCCTTCCAATGTGAAGCAGAAGACCTGCGTCTCACCAACTTCTGTATGACTCTCTTGCACAATCTTCTAGTGCAATCCAGAAAAAGCTCACAGGGCTTGCAGACAGGGCAGAGAGGTGCAGTTAAAAAGTAGATGTGTGCCCTGGCTGGTGTGGCTCAGTTGGTTAGCATTGTCCAGAGCACTGAAGGGTTCAACTCCCAGTCAGGGCACATACCCAGGTTGCGAGTTTGATCCCCAGTCGGGGTGGGAACTGAAGGCAACCGATTCATGTTTCTTTCTCTCTCTCTCTCTCTCTCTCTCTCTCTCTCTCTCTCTCTCTCTCTCTTCAATGAAAAACATACCTTCAGGTGAGGATTTTAAAAAATCCTGTCAGAAGTCTACACTTCTTCCCTTTCAGGGCCAGCTGTCTGAAACACCTTTTCTCCCCACAAGGATAATTCTTCTTCTAGGACCCTCAGGTTCTGGGTGTGATGGGTGAATAACCCTTGCATATCATCTTTTGCAGAGATTCCTTCCAATTATTCCCTTTACCTCATCTTTGCCATCTGTTTCTTCTTACAGGCCTCCAAAGAGCTACTTTTCTAAGCCTTGGCCTTATCTATATTCCCATTCTGATATTTTTAAGAAAAAAACTCACAGGGATGAAGTAAAATGGCTAGAATGCGAAAGATAACCACTACAGAAAGAAATGTGAAAAGTCAAATAGTGAGCCCAGAAATTCAGAAGATAGAAAAGGAACAGGCAAAAATACACTCCATGTGAATTAAAGACCTAAACTTATAAAACAAATTCAAAATTATCTGAAAAAATATAGAATATCTTTATGCTCTTTTTAAAAAATATATTATATTGAATTTTACAGAGAGGAGGGGAGAGGGATAGAGAGTTAGAAACATCGATGAGAACCATCCATCAGCTGCCTCCTGCACACCTCCTACTGGGGATGTGCCCGCAACCAAGGTACATGCCCTTGACCGGAATCAAACCTGGGACCCTTCAGTCTGCAGGCTGACGCTCTATCCACTGAGCCAAACCGGTTAGGGCTCTTTATGCTCTTAAGGCAGAATTTCTTAAGGCAAATTATGAAAGAGCAGAAGTCATAATAAACAATTTTGATAAAATTTAGTATAACAAATATTAAAAACTTCTACATGAGCTCTAGCTGGTTTGGCTTAGTGGATAGAGTGTCGGCCTGAAGGATCCCAGGTTCGATTTCCAGCCAAGGGCATGTGCTAGGGTTGCAGGCTCGATCCCCAGTAGGGGGCGCGCAGGAGGCAGCCGATCAATGATTCTCTGTCATCATTGATGTTTCTATCTCTTTCTGCCTCTCCCTTCCTCTCTGAAATCAATAAAAACATTTTTTTAAAACCCCACAAAACTCCTACATGAAAAACATATTAAACAAGGTTAAATTACAAGTGACAGATGGGAAGACAGGCAGTAGATATCTGCATCGAACAGGTTTATCAGAAAGACTGTTACCTGGCATCTATAAAGGAGTCCTACAAACTGATGATAATAAGGAATATAAACAGCCCAATAGAAAAGTGAACAAAAGGAATGAATTACCAGAAGAAATTAAAATAACCAATAATACATATAAAAATCAGCTCTCTCTAGTAATCAGAGAAATACAGAGTAAATGGACAATGAGATTCATTTCACATCTATTGGGTTAGCAATAATTTAAAAGTCGGACCATTTTAAGTGTTGGTGATGTCCACACAAGAAACATCCAAACCTGAGTTTATTTGAGCCAAACTGACCACAACTGCCAGGAAGCAAAGATCTCAAATGCTTCAAAAAAATGTCAGTTTGCAGTTTCTTTTATGCACATTAAGGAGGGACCTTACAGCCCAGTTGGTGTGGCTCAGTTGTTGAGTGTCGACCCATGAACCAGGAGGTCACGGTTAGATTACCGGTCAGGACACATGGCCGCATTGTGGGCTTGATCCCCAGTAGGGGGTGTGCAGGGGGCAGCCAATCAATAATTCTCATCATTGATGTTTCTGTAGCTCTCTCCCCCTCTCCTTTCCTTTCTGAAATCAATAAAAAATATCTATATTTCTTAAAAGGTTAACCTAGATGCACAAGAACAATGGACAGGGTAATTTAAAAACCTTTCACTAAAGAAGTTACAGGCCTGGTCAAAACTACCCAGCATGACCTTCCCAGTTAGGAATTTATGATGAGATCACCCTGTGAGGTTACTTTTGGTGAGATTTATTACAGCAGCCTTTTCTTCCATCATGAGGGTGTAGAGAAACTAGGAGGACTCTTATCCTGTAAAACGGATACAACTGCTTTGGAGAGCAACATGTTACTTGCTCAAGGTGAAAAAACACACATCCTTTGTCCCGTCTATTGCAGGGGTGGGCAAACTTTTTGACTCGAGGGCCACAATGGGTTCTTAAACTGGACCGGAGGGCCGGAACAAAAGCATGGATGGAGTGTTTGTGTGAACTAATATAAATTCAAAGTAAACATCATTACATAAAAGGGTACGGTTTGTTTTTTTTTTAGTTTTATTCATTTCAAACGGGCCGGATCCGCCCCGCGGGCCATAGTTTGCCCATGGCTGGTCTATTGCCTTAGAGCAGGGTGTTTCTCAATCCACTGGTGGTTCCTGAAATCAATCAAGTGGGTCGTGTCCAGCATTTTACAAAAATGAAATAGAATATAAAATGTAAGAAGTGAGTTTTGATATAAAATGTGTTTACTATGAGTCACGGTTAAAAACCAGTCTGAGCCCTGACCGGTTTGGCTCAGTGGATAGAGCATCGGCCTGCAGACTGAAGGGTCCCAGGTTCGATTCCGGTCAAGCGCATGTACCTTGGTTGTGGGCACATCCCCAGTAGGGGGTATGCAGGAGGCAGCTGATCGATGTTTCTCTCTCATCGATGTTTCTAACTCTCCATCCCTCTCCCTTCCTCTCTGTAAAAAATCAATAAAATATATTATTGAAAAAATGAATCTGGTTTAAAAAAAAAAAAAGTCTGAAAACACTGCTTAAGTTTCTTATACCTAAGAACAAAGAGACATCTTCGAGGATGTTCCCTGCAATGGTGTGTTTGTAATAATGAAACATGCAAGCACTGTAAATGTCTATCAGTAACAAATAGGTAAACAAACTGGAGTGTATTCTGGTGATGGAACACTGCACAGCAGCTAACATTAATGAACTTGGTCTATATCATCACATGGATGAATTCTGAAAACAAATTTGAGGGAAACAAAACAGAAAAATGCCACATTGTTAGGGGCAGAAATAGAATATTGGGGACTAGCTATAAGAAATAAAGTAAGAAATATTAATCATGCTCTGTTAACCGTGATTGTTTTGTTTTGATTAAACAAAGCACATGTGAAACTGGCTGGGAGTTGTACATCCCCAGGACCTGGGAGTCAACCTTGGAATGAGGTCCATCAATGGCGTCCCGCCCCAGCTCCCCACAGCCCACCTTGCCTACTTCCCCATGCCCGGGATTCCTGCTCCCCCATGTAATCTTTGTCCTACCCAATATAAGCAGCTGGCTTCTGGGGGGCTGGAGAGCAGATGTCTGTGGGTGACCTGTTGCTCTCCCATTCTCCCAGCAGTACTGGGATAAATGCTCATTTATGATTCAACTCTGTCTTCACTTAATTGGCTCAAGTCGTGACAGGCAGTCCGGACCCATGGGTTGTCCAGTTACAACATGAAACCAAATATATGGTTTCTCATTTTATTTTGAGAGCACGTTTATTAAAGTTGGGGACAGTGAGACAAGGAAGGGCTTAGGATAGAAGCAACAGGAGAGAGACTACTAGGTCGGCTGCTTTGGCTCTAGAAACGTTATGGGAAAGAAAGAAGCCAAGGCGGGGCTGCTGTCAGCTCACTGGAAAATCAGAGAAAAGGGGGCCTGGGAGACAGGCTCCGAGGGTTAGCCCAGGAGGAGCTGCCACTGCACATTGTTCCCCTGGTGGCAAATCTTATGGGGACCCTCAGGGTGTAGGAGAGGCATGGCTATTGGAGAAGAGGAGGAAGGGAAACGCTCAAACATGCTCTGGGAGGCAGAGTGCGCCGGAATATTTAAAACATTAAAAAATACTATATAGCCCTGGCCGGTTTGGCTCAGTGGATAGAGCGTCGGCCTGCGGACTGAAGGGTCCCAGGTTCGATTCTGGTCGGGGCATGTACCTTGGTTGCGGGCACATCCCCAGTAGGAGGTGTGCAGGAGGCAGCTGATCGATGTTTCTCTCTCATCGATGTTTCTATCTCTCTATTCCTCTCCCTTCCTCTCTGTAAAGAATTAATAAAATATATTTTAAAAATATACTATATACTACTTATTTATATATAAATATAAATTGTCATATAAATGCTCAAATACAGGGTATAAATGTATACACACTTTAACATCTGATAGCTTAATTGAAGTCTTCTTTTTCAGATTTGAACACTGGAATATATAATTATTCAGAGTGTGTAAACATTTTTTGGGGGGACACCCTGTATATATACACAAAGTATTAAAAGTGGACTGACATAAAGGGGCAGCCTAAAGGAAGAAAGGGAAATGGGACTTGGGAGAAAATAGGTTTGACATTATTTATTCATTTTGGGTGGTAGATACATAGATGAATGTTATAGTATTCTTTGTTCTTTTCCTTTTAAAACATGTTTAACACATAAGAAAAAAGGAATGCAATTAAGAAGTTTTAATACAAACCCTTGGTTATTAAAATTCTTTCATGCTGGCACTTTTTTTTTCAGTGCCTTGGGAAGAATAACTTGTCGCAAACCAACCTGTCAAACTCAATGAATTAGTATCTACAGGTGGCAGATCACTGCAGTTATTATCTGTCCTAGCAAGAGGTTTATCTTTTCCTGAAAAGTTTCCAGTCTTTCTTATCTTTGCACATACCGTTCCCTCTTTCCAAAAAGCCAGTCCTCGCAGTACTTGTCTTCGTCAGTCTCCAATTTATCCTCCGTGATCTAGTTCAAACATGACTTCTCTGCATCTGGATGCACCACCATCACCACCACCAGAATTTATTACTACTCCTTCCTTTAACTCTCACTGTACCTTAGACATTTTCCTGTTACAGCACCTCTCACGTGATAGTACAATTATTTTTTTCCTCTTAAAATCTTTTCAAATTAGTGCCAACCTTTACAAACTTGAATTTCTGGCTTCTCCTGCGAATGTGGAGGATCTGACACAATGTAACAAAGTACCCGGGGCATCTTTCCTGGGGGCCCTCATTCTCTCCGGTGTGTTGCCCTTCTGGGCATTTGAATCCTAAACCCGGGACTAAGTAAATAAATAAACAAACCTAGAACTGATATCATAGATTGTGTGGCTTAAATAATAAACATTTATTTTCTCAGTTCAGGATGCAGGAAGTCCAAGATCAGGAAGCCACCTGGTTTGGTTTCTGGAAATGGCTCTCTCTCTGGCTTACTGCCTTCCCACAGTGCCCTCACCTGGTGGAGAGCGGTGAAGAGAGAGGGAGAGGGGAGAAGGGGAAGCACAATTATTATTATTATTTAAAATAAATTTTTATTTATTTCAGAGAGGAAGGGAGAGGGAAAGAGAGAAACAATAAGAGAGAATCATTGATCAGCTGCCTCCTGCACGCCCCCTACTGGGCATGTGCCCTTGACCGGAATCAAACCCGGGACCCTTCAGTCCACAGGCCAATGCTCTGTCCACTGAGTTAAACCAGCTAGGGCCACAATTATTTCTCTATTAAACCTTCTCTACTAAACCTCTGAGCTTTTAGAGGGAAAGGCCTGCCTCTCATTTGCCTTTATTTCCCTGGAACCTAGCAGAATGGTATAGAGCAGGCCCTCAAATGTTTGCCAAATGAACAACAACAAATGCTGATGACAAGCTAAATGACATGGCTTTGGGGAGCTCAAATCTGGGATCATGTAAGATGGTCACCAGTCTGGTGGTTCCTCACTATCTCTTATCCAGATGGTTATAAAGTAACTTTAATGATATCCTGAACCTCCAGTCTCTTCCCACTCTAATCCATATTAACTCCAGAGTAATTTTTACAAAATATCACCTTCATCTTGCCATTCCCTTGGGCAAAATGCATTATGATTCCCTAGGACCTTTTAAATCAAATTCAAATCTTTAATCTTTACACCTGAGGACCCCAAGCAGATCTAATCTTTACATGAGGCCCCAGAATACCACCTCACTCTGGTATTCCAAACAATCTCTCAAACATTTTATAATGTAAGCTATACTAGGTAGGGCTGTAATCTTTTTTTCATTTTTTAAAATTTAATTAATTGATTTGAGAGAGAGGGAGGGAGGGAGAGAGGATGGGAAAGGGAAACATTAATCTGTTGTTCTACTTAGTTATGCATTCATTGATTGATTTTTGTATGTGCCCTGACTGGGGATCGAACTCACAAGCTTGGTGTATCAGGACGATGCTCTACCCACCCAATTAGGGCCAATCTTTTTTTTTTAAATATGTTTTTATTGATTTCAGAGAGGAAGGGAGAGGCAGAGAGAAACATCAATGATGAGAATCACTGATCAGCTGCCTCCTGCACGCCCCCAACTCGAGACGGAGTCCATAAGCCAGGTATGTGACCCGGCTGGGAATTTAACTGTGACCTCCTGGTTTATAGGCTGACACTCAACCACTGATCACACCGTCCAGGTAGGGCTGTACTCTTTATCTATCTAATCTCTGATTTATCTCAAGCAACAAAAACAATGCCTGGCCTGGGGAGAAGCTCAATAATTGTGGAATTAGTGAATAAATTAACTATTTATTAGTGAAAAAAAGAACACAAAATATAAAGCAATTTCCTTTCAAAGGAATTATTATTTTTCAAATATATTTTTATTGCTTTCAGAGAGAGGAAGGGAGAGGGAGAGATAGAAACATCAATGATGAGAGAGAATCATTGATCGGCTGCCTCCTGCAGGCCCCACACTGGGGATTGAGCCTGCAACCCGGGCATGTACCCGACCGTGACCTCCTGGTTCATAGGTCGACGCTTAACCACACTGGGTGGGCTCAAAGGAATTATTTTGAGAGGAAAAATATTACTTTATACTCAGGTATATGTATTCAGTTAATAAATACTTAATAAGCACCTCCTGTGCCAGGGACTGTACTAGGGACCAGAAATACAGTGAGCTGAGAATCAAATGGGAAGCAGTCATTAAGAGCATAATGCTGAGGGGGGGGGGGAGTGGGGGGCAATGGGGGGGGGCGTTAAGGACACATATGCAATACCTTAATCAATAAAGAAATTAGAATGCAAAAAAGAGAGCACAATGCTATAGTTAATTATTTTAAGTACTATGAAGGATAATTATAGCTAGCTACAAGATGAATAACAGGGAAACCTAACTCTGTGGGCTTAAGAAAGCGTTTCCTGTAACAGAGCTGTTTATATACAAACTGCAGTAATTCATGGGCCCAGTCTGTCTGGGTTCAACTGCTGACTCAAATACTGATTAGGTTACTTAACCTCGCTTAGGAAGTGGAGCTAACGATAGTATCTACCTCATGAAGTTAAGGGAGGATTAAACCACTTAATACATGTAAAGCCCTAAGAAAAATGATGGCAGTAGTATCTGCTCCATAAGTGTTAGCTATTATTACCACCATTTCCGCTGGCGCCTGCAAGACAAGCTAGAAGGGAGGGGAGAAACGCCACGCAGAGAGCAACAGGTGCAAAAGACCAGGGGTATAGAGTGGCTTGCCTGGCCGTTGGCGGAACTGAAAGGCCGATATTCCTTAGCAGAGAGAGCTAAGGGGAAAGAGCGACAATGAGACAGGAGATGAGGCCGGGAAGGGAGGCCCGGTTAAGGAGTCTGAACTTTATCCTTAGGTTCAGAGGAAACTGGAAAGCCCTTCCTTCCCTCTCCATCCCCCTTCTCTTCTACTCCTCTACCCCCCCCCCCCCCAAGCTCTAGCAGTTACCCGAATGGATGTTTCCATTGGGTACCTGGGGCTTTTCCACGCTGGTGACCTTCCGTACCTGGCCCATCGTCCTTGCCCTGCTCATGCCTAACTGCCTACCACAGAAACCAGAGTTTATTCTTGAATTACTATTTATTACTGTATTATTTTCCATACAAACAACTGTAAACCTACGTTTGCTCCATCCTGTATTAACCCCTAGAGTGCCGGGAGCGCTATCAAAGCTTCAACATGGCGTCCAGGGCTAAGTCTGCTTTTATTAGTGATGATGATATTGCTAAATATGTCAATGTAGTAAAGGTTTCCTTAAGTTTTTTAATATGTAACTTCATTTACTTGCGATTCATAATTTTTTTCCTAAACTGCTGTAAAATCAGCAAACATGCCTTGGCAATGTTAGCACAGTTCCTAGGATATTGGTTGGCACTCAAAGGGTTCATATGTATTCAAGAGGTCTTAACTGTTGGAGGCAGCTAAGTGCCACTTCTGGGAACCCTTCCCAGTTTCAGTTATTAATTAATTTGTTAAAAATTAATTAGGGTATAGCAGTGAACGAGACAGAACACTTGCCCCCAGCCTAGTTAGGGAGCCTGCCAAACAAGGAAACAAAATATATAAACGATGTCAGTGGTAAGTGCTATTAAAAAATACACAGGGTGATGAGAAAATGTGTGTCCTTTGGTCAGAGAAAAACTTTCGGAAGAAAAGTGACATTCAAGCTGAGACCCGAGCTTGGTCTGCAGGAGGCGCTTAAGGAAAGACATTTCCCCACTAACTTGGGAAACGCCGACTCGAGAGGCCGCTCCCAGGCTCCCGACCTTTGCCACCAGTTGCTAACTGGCCACGGGTGGTTCCCGGCCTAGGCACGCCGCCGCCACTAGAGGGCGCCGCGGGTCCTCCCAGCACCCAGGAGGCGCCGTGGCCCCAGACATTGCCAAATGGACATCTGGCACGTACCGCGTCCAGGCGCCGATGCAGGAGACTCGGACAGAGGGCAAGCGCGGCCCTAGGGAATCGAGAGGGGTCACTCAGAGAGAGGACGTCCTCAAGATCACAGAGCCTACCACGGGCAGAAGCACTCGCTCCTTCGGGGATAGCCTGCTTCCGGCGCCTTGAAAGCAGGAAGTACTGGCTGCGTCCAATCCTGGCCCTGCTTCTGCACTCAGGCCTCGGGGCGCGTTCAGTGCCGGGTTAGCGTGTGGCCAGCGGTCTGTGGTTGCCAATCAGCTGTCAAGAAATGCGCACGCGCCGTCAAAGGGACGCGCATCACGGTGAACCTTGACCTGAAGAAGACCTGTCCTCCCCCTCCCTCGCCGAGAAGATGGCGCTCTCCAGGCTGTGCTGGGCTCGAGCTGCTCTGCGGGGTTCGGCGGTCACCCCTCGACCTTATGTCACGCGGAGGCTGCAGCTTGTTCGCTCTGGACTGGCCTGGGGAGCCCCCTGGTGAGGGCCCTGGAGGAAGCCGCGTTTCTGATGTACAGGCCCTTCCAGTGTCTTATCCTTGCTTGCATGCTGTCTCTTGGTTGTCAGGGTTCCACGCCCTGACCTGGAGGTTTTTATTCCTTTGCTCAGAAATCGCGCCCCGACCCCCGCTAGTGCCCTGGCGTCTTGACCCTCTGAACTCTGAGTGCCCCGCGTCTCGCGAGGTCAGCTCTCGGCCTCCCGCTTCCGGCCCGGGCTGTCCGGGTGTTCGCCTCGACCCCACGGCTCCGGCCTTTTCCCGCCGCTCTGGCCCCCGGCGCCGCGCTCGCGCCGGACTCGCTCGCGCCGGGCTCCGGCCGCTGCCCGCCGCCGCTTGCTGCCCAGCCTGTCGTCTGCCCCGGTTGTGTTTTTCTCGGTGTGATTGCTTCTCCCTGGATCCCAAGACCTTCCTGGTATCCGGAGGTTTCGGGTCTCGGCAAACGTTCTCCGCGGCCCGCGTGTGACGCCGGGGACGCCCCGCGGGCAGGGGCGCTGGGGCGGACTCCCAGACGGTCTCTCTGGTCCTCCCTGTAGGTCTGCAAAGCTCCACCTTTCCCCGAAGGCAGATGTGAAGAGCTTAATCTCGTACGTGGCGACTAAGACCAAAGCGATCAATGGGAAATACCATCGGTTTTTGGAACGTAATTTCCCCCGCTTCTATCTCCTGTACACCACCTTCACTAAAGGTAAAAACAAAACGGAAACGGGAACCGGCGGAACCGGCTCGCGGGCGATGTCAGAGGGTTCGAGCAAGATAATTGGCAGGTTTTGCTCTGGGAACGTGAGCTGGGATGTCTTATGTTTCACAAATGCTTGAGTATTAAACTTAATGTTATAAGTTAGCACTTCCTGAGGATGTTGCTAGAAAGGTTTTATTAGAAACAACTTCTAACAGTATCCAGAGGGAATATAGGTATTTTTGCACTTCTTTAACCACACACTTGACTATAGTAGAAGTTCTTTGTTGTGCGTAAGGGCAGGGATCTATGGCTGCACGGACCTGCCCTTTGATTTAGCAGTTGACTTGGCCCATAAGAAATGTGGTTTAATGCTTATCACAGATCTGTCCGAGGCAGCATGTGGTGGAAATAGTGCTGTAGTACTTGGTTTCGGACTGTTTTGGTCCCGATCAGAGCTCTGCTAGTCACCAGGAGATGGTATAGTGTCAGCGTCCCCTCGAGAGCCAGAGTGCCTGGGTTCAAATCCCAGCTTGTCACTGGCTGATTGGACCAGTTACTTAACCTCGGTCCTTTGGGTTTTTTCTTTTTCTTTTTTTTAGTATATATTTTTATTGACTTCTGAGAGGAAGGGAGAGGGGGAGAGAGACAGAAACATCAGTGATGAGAGAGAATCATTGATCGGCTGCCTCCTGCACGCCCCCCACTGGGGACCCAGCCAGACACCTGGGCATGTGCCCTGACCCGGACTCCACCTGCAGCCTCCTGGTTCATAGGTCCACGCTCAACCCGTGACCCACGCGAGCCGGGCTGTCCTTTGGTTTTCTTACCTGTGAATTGGGGATAATAATGGAACCTACCTGTTGACCTCATGGTTGTGGAGATTAAATTGATACATGTAAAGTATTTAAGGCCTGATTCTTAGTAAGTGCTCAATAAATGTACTATAACTGTTATTATTCTCTATACTTTTGTCATAATAACAGTTACAATAAACTACCACATAGTATCATAATTACTAGCTTTGTGGATTTGCAAATTGCTTACCCGTATTTGTAAAGTGGAGATAAAAAAATGGCTGCTTTGTCTGCTCCCACTTTACAACTAGGCTCAAATAGAAAAGGGTGTGAAAGCATTTTGGTTGGTTTGTTGTTAAGCCTTTTATTGTGGAAAAATTTAGACATACACAAAAGTAGAGAAAATAATATAATGAACTCCAGTGTACTCAACCTCACTTCAGCCAATCTTATTTCATTTCTAAACATGCCTTCTCCTGTATTCTTTTGAAGCCAACCTAGACATTCTATCATTTCACTCATAAATAGGAAAGCATTTTTAAAAACTAAAGTTCTAGATAAATGTAAGAATTATGTAATGAAGAGCAAAATGCAATCATAGAAATATGTTGAATTACAGTAATTATACAAATGTTCTAGAAAGGAGATAAATATCTGGTTAGGGAATACATAGGGTTGATTGAGCAAGACTTCCTGAGGTTAGCGAACTTTGAATTTTTATTTTTTTAATTCTCACCCGAGTATATGTTTTTATTGATCTTCTAGAGAGAGAGGGAGGGAGGGAAACATCAGTTGCTACCTTACGACCCCCAACTGGGATCGAACCGCAGCCTAGGTATGTGCCCTGACCAGAAGTCAAACCCACAACCTTTTGGTGTACAGGATGATACGCTAATCAATTGAGCCACTCAGCCAGGGCGAATTTTTATTTTATTTTATTTTTTTAAATCTTTATTGTTGAAAGTATTACATATGTCCCTCTTTTTCCCACATTGACCCTCTCCAGCCCGCCCCCGTCCCCTGAATTTTTATTTTAAAAAGGGAATGACGCCCTGGCCGGTGTTCTCAGTGGTTAGAGAATTGGCCCACACAGCAAAGGGTAAAGCATTTGATTCTGGTCAAGGCCACATACATGGGCAACCAATCGATGTGTCTCTCTCACATCCATGTTTCTCTTTTTCCTTTCTTCTCTTCTCCCTTCCCTCTTCCCTCATTCCCCTTCCCTCCCTCCCTTCCACTCTCTCTAAAAATCAGTGGGGGAAAAACACAACATAAAAATCAATGGAGCCCTAACTGGTTTGGCTCAGTGGATAGAGTGTCGGCCTGTGAACCTAAAGGTCCCAGGTTCGATTCCAGTCAAGGGCACATGCCCAGGTTTTGGGCTCAATCCCCAGTGGGGGGAGTATAGGAGGCAGCCGATCAATGATTCTCTCATCATTGATGCTTCTATCTCGTTTTCTCGCTTTCCCTTCCTCTCTAAAATCAAAAAATATATATTTTTAAAAAATCAATGGAAAAAAGATCCTCTGGTGGGAATTTTTTAAAAAAAGGAATGAGTAATGAACCACAAAAGGGAGACCATTCCATAGTAGATCACAGAAGGCCCACTTGGCTAGAAGAGAAGTGATGTGCTGCGGGAAAAAGGGATGAGAAAAGAGATACAGGTTGGCCTCACAAGAATTTCAAGTGACCTAGATGGGAGCTTTGATGTAGAGTAATGTTGGGCAGGGACAAGTTTGTGTACGGTGGGTAAACTTGAAATAGGAAGCTGTGGTATGATTCAAACTGGGGTAACATCACACTCTGTCCTCTACTTTAATGAGGCAGGATTGCAGATGTTATGGGCTGATGCCAAAAAGTCTAGAAGAATAAAGGCAGACATGGTGAAGCACAATGTAAAGTTTCATCAACTTTCATACCGGGAGATGGAGCATTTGAGACAGGTATGGGCCAGGGACAGACGTCCAGAGTGCATGGTGAGGTAATAGAAATTAACCAAGATCTCAAGTTATTTTCTATTTTGTTCCCCACTGATCAGGCTTTTGCCCTTTGCCACAAGATTAAAGTATTGAACTAAATGAGAGTATCAGACTATTTGTCAGAATTGGATTCTTTCAGAGGTATAGTCCTCCATAGCAGAGCTGCATGGAATTTGGGGCACACTTCCTAAATAAAAATTGTAAACACTAAGAGTCAGTTTTTTCCTGAACATATAAAAATTTGCAAGGTTCTAAAAGGCAGCAGGAAAGTAATATTGGGTGGTGACTGGAGTCGTTTTGGAGCTGAGAGTAAGATTCTAGGACCCGTTCTGCAGAGCAGGAAGAACTCACTGAGGTATTTGGTATAATGTCAGGGTGCCTGTACGTACTAGACAATATTTGGGATACAAAAGTCAATCAGGGCTCTGTCCTCAAGGAACTTACCAACTACATGTAGATAGCAATAACCTTGATCCTTTGCTGGGCTGCAGGAGTTTACTGCACAGTGGGATGGAGGGATTGTCCATTAAGAATGTGGGTTAAAACTGCATCTGTGTTTATTTCTGCTTAGTTTCGTCGAGATATCACCAAGTGTTTTTTTCTGGGTATTATTTCCATTCCACCCTTTGCCAACTACCTGGTCTTCTTGCTAATGTGAGTATAGACTTCTCTCTCCCTGGCATATTGAAAATAAAAAAATTTATGTAAGAAGAACTTTCCATCAGAAGCTAGGCAGAAGTTATCAAACTTCCTGCTCTAATCTTTTCATTAGCATTAGCCCAAGGTTCATAAAAGCCACTCCGTAATACCTAGGTTTCTTAAACAGCTGTAGATGTAGGTAATGTCAAACTCAAAGGCTAGCACAGTTCAAATAAACAAGGTTTAGGTTTATGTGGGCCGCAAAAAACCAAAAGCTTCAATTTTCATAGAAATGTAGGTTTATTTCGATAGAGACATGCTGAATACAAAGGACTGAAATAAATGAGTAATTGTTAACACAAAATAATAGAACATTTTTTTAAAAAAATATATTTTATTGGTTTTTTACAGAGAGGAAGGGAGAGAGATAGAGAGTTAGAAACATCGATGAGAGAGAAACATTGATCAGCTGCCTCCTGCACATCTCCCAGTGGGGATGTGCCCGCAACCCAGGTACATGCCCTTGACCGGAATCGAACCCGGGACCTTTCAGTCCGCAGGCCGATGCTCTATCCACTGAGCCAAACCGGTTTCGGCAATAATAGAACATTTTAATAAAAGTTAATATTTTTTCTTGAACATTAACTTACCAGACACGGAATAACTGCACAAATTAATAAGCGTAACACAAATAAACCTATTTTTCTTGTTGTCTGAAAGTGAAATATTTCCTGTTGAGCACAACAAACAAGTCAGTAC